AGGCCATCTTCACCCCTAACCTCACTATTCTAAAGGTTTTGTTTTCCAGTTTTTAAATATATAAATTTAAAATCAACAAAAAAAAATGATACTTTGGTGTCATCGAAATGGCTTTTTATAAACATATAAACTGTTGCTATTGTACAAACTGACACAAGGTGGTAAGTGGTTACTAAAATGTGCACTTTGTCACTTACTCATACAGTAGTTGTTCTCGTTGCCTTCAGACCACAAAACAAAAGCCTGCCATTGGCATTGTGGTCAATTCACAGAGATGCTAACAACACAGTGTTTTTACCTGGTGTCCCAAATTGTGATGGACCTTAATCCATTGTGGAGGCCTGGATGTGAGAGTGACTGTAAGCAGAAGCTATAAAACTCTCTTCATCTTTGTTTCTGTATAATGTTACTTTTTGTAATTGACTCTCATGTTCTTTCACGCGATAGTAAATGTCACCCAGGATTTTAATAAAAGAGCAATGTAAACACCTCCTCCTTTTAATTTGAATCACATGTATTGTATGTGAACAAACCTTTACAGCATTTGTGAGATCATCAACCCCCTGCCTGTTAAAGCTCTATCTACTAAACATCACAGGAATTGACACTGCAGGGAAAGTATAACAGAAAACCAGTTTGTGCTCCTCCTGCTGTGCTGGGACCGCTCATAAAATGTTATAAGTACCGTGGAAAATCAGAGTGCACAGTCTTTGGATGGAGGGATGGCTTTGGCCGCTAACCCGGCGTTTAACGAGGCTCCCTGGTCCCTTAACCTTAAGCGCTCTGGTTTCACGGCTGTGTCACTTTGAGCTCCGTGTGTCGGAGAATTACGACGCTGGTGCATGTCCGTATTTCTGCACAGTGGATGTTGAAATCTGCGGCTCCGAGGTGATGGATGCTCACGTCTTAGCCATGTGGGATCAGGCATTTTTTTAGGCTGACTAAGCAACAGTTTGGTAAATATTTTCCTGTTCTGTTATTCAGAATGTGTTCTTACACCCTGTGCTACAATATGCCTCACTCAGCTTATTTTGTGAAGTCTAAGAGGCCGGCAAACTTTTTTTAGATTCAGTCAGCGGGAGATGTGATTAAAGTTAACGATGTCTGTCATATTGAATTTACATCAAATTATTCTCAATCCTTGAACAACTGTCTTTATGGACTCCCTCACTCCTGTAACTTCAGAAAAGGGAATGAAAGCGGTTTCCCTTGCTTGTGTGAATGTACACTGAATGTTTACATTAACTCCACATCACTGAATGATAGCCCAAACCTGCTGCATTTTAAGACCATCTGAGAACGGAGATAATGATATGGATTCATTTGAAAATTAATACATAAGGAATACATTGGTTAATGTAGGAGGAATACATTAGTTTACTTATATGACTCTGCCAGCATTTCAACAGAAAAACAAGTTAAATTGATGTGCCTTCCTATAGGTCTAAACAATGGAATTGGTGGAGTAACTATTTGACACTCTAAATGATTTCCCTCCACGGTAGATATAAACCTTCACAGACACAAAACACACGTCAAAGCTTCCTAACAGTTAGTGAGTGAAAGCACAAAATAAAAGCAGGCCGGAAATGAGTTTTGTCTTGTGGAGAGCCTCTCTATGGCCGCTTGTCTATCAAGGGTTCTCATTATTGATAATTTGACTCACAAATCCCATTAGCGCATAATGCGGGAACATACTATTACATGATTTAGAGGGTTATGTCCTAAGACTTATTATGAGCCCTGAGCTTTGACTGACAGGCTCACCTCTGCCTTCAGAACAAACAAGGTGTAAAGAAAAGCTTTCATCAGGATGTGTTGGACTTTGTACGGACATCCACAAAGATATCCAACGTTGTTTATAAGGGCTTCTTTTTTAAAACAGCATATCAGAGTGCTCAGAGTGGCTCAATGTGCAGCAGCCTCAAGTGCTGCTCTTAACTCAGTAAAGCAGAAAAATATACCTACTGTGAATCTTTCTTCTCTCCTTTTCCGTTTCTCCGCTGCTCCATTACAAAAATCTGATCTTCACACAAGTGGATCAGTGATCTGCTTCAGGCCACTGCTTTGGCTCTTATGTTACTATTATCAAAGGGTTTAAATCAAGAGAGCCCAGATGATAATCACGCAGCCAGCATTATCTTCCAATAAAACATCAAACACATAGCTCATTAAAGATTATAATTTATGAGTGTTAGATGGTAATCCTGAAGGAGGAGTTACTTTATTAGATAATCTCTCCTCCTCTCTCCGTAGGTTTCTTTCTGGGCGATGCTAATTTCCCGTAGAGGCAAACAGCATCAAGTGCAATTTAAAAATCCAATAAAAATTCTTGATTATTCTGCGGCTTTGTGGATAAATGGACTTGGCCTCCAAAATGCGGAACAGAGCAGTGAGCGTCAGGCTGAAAACAAGAAGCACAGATGACATGATGGTGTCTGAGATGAGTCGGTTGACACTTATGGGGGCGACGTTCCAATCATAATTTGTCAAATCTGATCTTTCTTCTTCATATTCTTCCACCCTTTCATGCAGCGCTCCACCCCGCTCAAAGGGGGTTGCAATTCTCAATGGCTGAATGTAACCACGACTGTTAAATCCAATCACGTCTCAGAAGTCTCATCTCTTATGAGACCATGCTGCAGATCAGTCCCTGAGTGAGAAGAGACTCTGATGGTTTGATTTATTTTCTTTGAGGCGGCGGCATTGAACACAGCGCTCATATTATGATGAAAATGCTATAGCTGGCACACACGTGCAGGCAAATGCCAACACACATTCACTCACAGTATGGAACTGTATATGCGCACACACATTGAGATCCAGGTCTGATGACATCTTTCTCATTTTGTGAGACACCACACAAAAAGAGGAACAGGAAAAAAAACACGATGAAACCCAGGAAACATTTTATGGGCAGCTCCCGGAACATTTTGCATTTTTCTTCAAGCAAATGTGACATTTTACAGATACAGCTGATGGTTGCCCTTTCAAGGCTGTTTGATTGAGTACCTCAGTGACTATTGAATAGGCTGCATAACTGTGACATTTTGGACCTACCATGCTGGCTCTTAGAGGATGAGCTTTTCCTACGAAGCAATGTAGGGTTGAGATTTGTGGGTTTTCAATATGCTCTAAAGGATTATTGGTGTATTTAAATATACCTATCTTACCATACTGTAATTAGACCTATCACTGTGTTGTCCAATAGCCTTCAGGTGTGTAGAACAAGCTTTCTAATTTTGTTGTTTGTTGGGGCTTTTTCTTGTGTTTTTTGTTGTCGTCTGTTAATTCATGCCCACACATTTTTCAATTGAGCATGAGTGCACACACTTCCAGTTATTTAAAGTGGCTTCTGTATGGCCTGCTTGTTTAACGTGACAATCTGTGGCCACGTTAGTCACAGTCTTTGGTTTCTCTTTTCTCCCTGCATGCTTGATCGTGAATCCTGTCACTGTGAGCTCTGGTTGTCGGTGTGTACTTCGGGGGCTAAGTGCTGCGCTAAACTGTGTCCAAATAAGACTAAATTTAGCTACTCTCATACCTGTGTGGACAAAGTGGAGAGCAGAGTCTTTGAGTGTAACCAAGCCGAAAAAAAATGTCCTTACTCCATTATCAATGAGCTTGTTGAAGTAAAGGCCCAGCTGTCTCAAGAGCTGAAAACACTACAAGTGCTGGGTGAAAGAGGGTTCAGTGCACAGCCGGTACTCTTCAGATGGATTGAAAGGACATGAATGTTGTTTGAAAAGAAGTAGGAAGAGAATTTGACCATCCATGACAACAATTATCTTAGCAGCCACAAAAGACCAAAAGTTTCCTCTTCCATCTTGAGCCATTTTTGACCCACAGGTGAAGATTTTTAAATGAATACTTGTCGTCTCTTTGTCACTGCGGAGATTAAAAAACCCATGGTCATGACTCATGTGGATTTCTAAGCATGCATGACACATATTTTTTCACTTGCCCATTGTACAGTAAAATTGTCGCTGTCAGGGAACATTTTCCAAAACCTGCAGTAGCCCATCACTGACATTTTCCCTTAACTTTCCCAAGGCCAAATGATTGCAAGATGGAGGCTGCTCAAAGCAATTTCTTCTTCCTCCTCTAACTTTCTGCATCATGACTCTGTTGAATATATTCAATAAACACCCATAACAGGAAGATCTAGGACAATTAGGAAGATTTTTAGTGCCACTTTATCTCCATTACTGCTGATTCTCCTCTATCTCTGTCTTCGTTTGCATACAATTTCAGACTTTGCATCGAACACTTGATGGATTTGTTGCTCTGCTGCTGGCAGGAGACATTACTCAGGAGAAGAATGACGTAGTGTCTCCATACATGTCTGACTTCATCATTGTGCAGGAGGACAGCAAGTCTTCTCCTCTTGGCTGTGCCATTAGGATTCAGCAGGGCTCGAAATGACATATTATACTGCAGCTGTATAGGAAAGCTGAAACACTCATAAAGAAAAGTCTTGTTATTACCGTTATAATCTTCATTTGTCGTGAATGTGAGCGGCCATGTCAGTAGATTTTGCCTTGATTCACATTAATGGGTGCTAGTTTATGTTTGTATGTTGTTTCAGTGTTAATCCTTTTGTTTGAACTTGTGTGTCTCTTCATGAATCCCTTCTGTGTGTTTTAAACTTGTTTCACATGTTTTTGTTGGGTCAATATGTGACTTGTTGTTGGCCCCATAGGGCCTCTTCATGGTGGGGTGTAACATTTCCGAACCAAAAATAGTGCCTGTATGGGATTGCCAAGCCCGAGGGATCGCAAAGACACAAAATGAAGTCCGACTTCTTTGTTTTCCCAGCATGCTCTTTATAAATAATCTCTCAACCCTGAATTATTGACAAGAGTGTTGGCCAGGAAACTGATGCTGAAATCATTAGAGATTGTTACAGAATAATGTTTGGGGAAAAAAAAGTTTTCTCTGATGTGGTCGGAAAAGATTTTCTTCTTCAAAATGTCATTAAATCATTATCAAACACAAAATGAAAACAACTTTTTATTTTTCATGTAAGGGCTACAAATTGTCCATTTTCATCTTAATTCTTTCATCTTACTCTGATTTCTGTTGCTCAGGAAATAAAGAGCAACAACAAATAGGCTTTTTATACGTGTATTCTTTTTCTAAATAGCTTTTATACAAAAAAAAGAACACTGATCAGTTTTGCTTTTACAAAATGCATGTTTTTTTTTTTTTTGTGATTCCAGTCCGAGCCGAGGGGGGAGAGGGAGACAAACATGGGAAGGTTACAAAAATAAGTGTTGGTAATTCACAGTGCAAAAAATCTATTATATACAAGGTGCCAGCTTGCATTTACATCAGAATAAAGTCACAAAATGTACAGAAGCCTTTTGCAAACTCAAAGATTTAAAAATGTCTTAGAGTGTGCACCACATCAAACCAATGTTCTAAAGATAACGAGGAAGGTGATATTTCATTTTTAAAATAAATAATACGGTATATGCTACTTTAAAATGACACACGAGTAAATGTGTAGTATAAAATCTTCTCTGCCATCTTGGGATGATCATGTGATTCTCTTGTATTGATTGTCAATCTCTGTTACTTTCTTTGACCTTGCTCACGACAAACATTCATTTAAAAAAAAAAAACTAAAAAAAAAAAACTAAAGGTGTTTTCAGACCAAACAGTTCTGGGGACTTTTTGAAACAGAACTATCCTCTAGAGAGTTCCCTGAGACCTTCACACCACCCAGACCTTTTCTCTTGTCTGCCTTTGCACCGCCATGGTACCCTCTCTGTAGCAGTAGCTAAAAAGGTTCCTCTAAACCGGGTTCTAGGAACTAAAATAGTTCATAGTTCCTGTGGTGCAGAATCACTTAAAAATAAAGGGAGGGTTCCAACAGTTCCTGGAACTATGAAAAAGTTGTCCGTGAATTTAAGATGCTAATCTAAAATAAGACTGACTGCTTTGAAGCTATGAGAGCTTCGTCTGTGACCAAGAAAACTAGATCGATATAATTATATTCACCAAACAGGCCAGTTTAAAGTGATCACCTTAATGTTGTTCACGTGCTTTATAAATGTGGAGCTTGTTACATCCCATGTTTCTATTATTTAGAATCCTTTGCATCTGATGATATATTGATTATAAGTAAAAATATTTCTTCTTTCTGGCTCGTTATAAAGACTATTTTGTGTTACTTGATGTGCAAATTAAGTCTTAGCTTCGCTCTTTACTGTAGGTCCATAGAAAAATACTTCATTATAACCTCCTGACATCTTATATGCCTCACACGACTCTTGACAAAAGATACACCTGTTGACAGTGACGAGAAAATGTAAAAACCCTCACATAGATGATGACAGGACATTGGACATTAATTACACATTAGCAGAAGTGTAAAAAAAAAATGTCATTCTAGGGAACCAGATAATGTTTGAGAATAATTCTGATGACAATAATGGATGCTTTATATCTTAGATAGTTTTTTGCTAACGCCATTAAAATAAAAAAAATAAGCCGTGAATTTATCAAGATGTCTGTATATCTCAACTATCTGATCTAATCCAGTCTATCATATCTTCTTCTTCTTTTTTCCATGAAGCTCCATCGTAGCCCCATTAACATTAATAATGCAAAACTGTTTCATTGCTCGACATGTTCCGAAAATAACATGCACATATGAAACAAAACAATACCAATTTCCAAACTCTGCCATAGACAACATAACTGAAATAATGAACCTAGAAAAAAAAAAAGCCCCAGACGCACAATGCAGTCATATTTGAGTGTTTCCTTAAAATGCATCAGCTGGATCATTTAGAGAATGACTTTGCCTTCAATATAACAAGATGCTTTTGACAGACTGAAATGAATTCTGATGCCTCTAATATGACCTAGATAAGAAACGACACCATCAGGAATGAGATTCATTATTTTTATATAGTTATCTTAATGGCTGAAACTGCTGCAGCAGGCTGGTTTCATATAAAGAGATTAACTGCATTCAGTCGAAAACAGCCTTAGCAGAAATTCTCCATGAGGGATACATTAGACTTTTAACAGAAAGCAGGATGAGATTGCACATGTATAGCTAATTATCAGAACATCAAGAGATATAAGGTACTGTTTCGACAAACTTAGACTGTCAAAGTTTCTGACAGGAGCTTTTTTACTAAAAAATGTATTTCTTTCTAAGAAAAGAACTGGCTTGTTTAAGAAGGCAAAAGAAAAGGATGGGAGAGTATAAAGAAATGAGAGGTGGAGAAATGCCATAGTTAAAACGCTTATAGTGGGACTTTTGATCAATTAAAGCTCCTTAAAGCACCTGTATGGAGCTTTAATTTTGTGATGATTTTGTTCTTTAAAAGTTGTGTTTTCTTATGAACAATCTCATCCATCTCTCTTTTACTAGTCAAACGTATCACTCTGTGACTTAGGGTTACATTGAAACCTTGGTTCTCTGATTGAAGCAACTACTCTCCACCCTGTGACATCACATGTATGTGATCATATCCTGTACATGTGATGTAACGGGGTGGAAAGATAGTCTCAAGATGATAGAGAACCCTCATAGGAGAAAATGTAAAACAAAATGTTGTTATCAATCACATTCTCTGACAGGGACCCGGTGGCAGAGTTACAGCCACTCTTCACTCTTCTTCTTGACACTCTTGTTTGCTTTTGGAGGTCATAAAGACACATTATTATAATAACAGACTGTTACATATACATCGTTAATCAGGGAGAGACTTCTGTTTATAGAGGTCAACAGACAAATCACAGCAGACTGAGCCAGAGGCCTTATTGGCTAAACTATCAAAGATAATACATGTTCTTCCTTTGCAGAATTTAAATTTTGAACACCTTTTGGGTCAAAGAGTTTTAGCCAAGTGCAAAAAAATTGTTTGTTTTCAAGCATTTGTCTATGTACTTGATGCAAATTATTTTGGCCTTTTGTCTTTATTCATACTTAAATGCACCGTTTGCCATCCTGGCTGTCATTTTTGAGAAAACTTTTTATGAAATGTAAGTGTCGTTATTACTGATTTTTTTCAGTTGAAATGTTATGAATGTGATGCTCTCTCATCATTTCATCATCAGTAAGCCTTCCCTCTGCGCTTGATGTTCATTCATTTAAAATGCTACACTCCATGAATAAATATGTATAAAGGACAGAATATAAATCTTAAAAACAGACAAAAAAGAAGATGGATTAAAAGGCATCATAACAAAAAGAGGATCGTGAATAAAATCCGACAGCGCAGCTTGAACAGTTAAGAGAAAGCTGCTAGTTCTCGAGGATCATTGACATGTCTGATGGCATACACAGTGAAACAACTCTTGCGGCCGCTCAACCTCAAAATGTGTTTTTTTTGTTCATAAATCGTTTTGTGCATGTAGCTTCTTTTTTGCTTCTCAGCCCTGTGATTTCGGCATTGGCACAAATACAGCAACTACAAAGCAATCAGGAGTGCAGCATCACAGGACACACACACAGCACGTACTGAGGACTTGGCCAGAATAAAATATGAATAGAAAACAAAAATAAAAACCTTTAGAAAACATTTTAAAACAGTTTTCAACTAAACGGTGAACATACACTATATACACAATTCCAGAGCGTTAAGAAAAGAGGATCACCTCTATCATGGCACATACGATCAGGTTTGTGAAATCTGTTGATGTGTTTGTGTGTGTGTTACACCCCTACACAGCTTTGACCAACATACACCCTTTGGTATAGGTGAGCTTAGGAAGGATTGCTTCTTCTTCTTCACCCTTAAAATCAGCATCATGACGCCATTCAAATCCTTATTCACCATCCCTGTCACATTCAACAATATCATTTCCAAGCAGGAAACATCATTAACCTTGCTGTCAACACAGTCTCACTTGTTTATCCAGTCTCCACACCCGCACAAAACCTCAGTTGTCACAGTTTAGCAGCTTTAGGAAGTGACACATGTCGAAAGCAGCTCTGGTCTCATGCCACAAGTTCTTGACATCAAAGTTTTTTTGTTTTTTTTTCGAAAAAAAGCAGCTGCAACAGTCATGATAAGTTACATGAAGAGTCAGCCTCATAGCAAGTCCATCTCCATCCTGTGACCTCTTTATTCCCAAACTTGTATCATCGTCATGGAAAACCATGCCCCTGTCAGCCTCTGAACTTTTTCCCGACGAGATTTACTCTAAGTCTCCGATGCTCTGTTGCTCCTCTTCGGCTGTTCCTACACTCTTTATCCCCCAACGGGCCTCAGCAGCTCAAGCGTACGTCTCCCCCGATTTCAGTGCCACCAGTTCAGGGTCATCCATGTGGCGCCCATTCAAGTGTTCGCTGTTACAGTCATGGTGATACATGAAAGCGGGCACCTCAGTGATGGAGGTGGCTGTGTAGGACGTGGAGCGCATTGAGCAGTGGTCCTTTCGTCTCTGACCCCACTGGGTTTTGTACTGCATCCACTGTCTCTTTAACGCCGACTGCACCTAGACAACATAAAAAAAAGAAAACGTTAAAGACATGCACCATTATCAGGATGACAATCTATGACTTCGAATCCCATTCGAAGGCAATGCTTTAAGCCTTACATTTGTAAGACAGGGGAAGAAAGCTAGCATTATGTCCTTCTCAATCTCCTATACCCTGATAACATCGGGACAATTTAGCCTCAGGGAACAATGGTCAGGTTTTGAAGGCTGCTAATGTAGCCAGCAAGTTACTTTACCAATCTACATGTTTAATCTAAATCAATTTTTTTTTTGTGTGGATATAAATAGAAAGATAAGTTTTCATTAGATAGTTACCAGGGGGTTCCAAGATTGCATTTGGACTGAAACCAGAACACTTCCAAACTCTGAAATCAAGACTCAACCTGTCAGAGCCGTCGACCACCACACATCTGTTTAAACAGGCTTGCTAGTAGCACTGGACTCCTCACCTAACCTCAGCTTGTACAGCGTAACTGACTCGACATGTCGATTGAGGTCGCTGCTACATTGCTGTGACTGGTTGGATTTAGATGTTATCAAATTTGACTGGTGGATCCACTATATTGGCAGCTTATAACCCTGGAGTGCGGGGGAGGGGCATCTGTTTTTTATGTTGAATTGAAGTGGAAAGAGGCTTTTAAAATGCATTTATTGTCGTTGGATATTTCCGACAGTCTGTGAACCTTTTAGGGAATTATTAAAGACCGGACCGCAAGCTATCGGTAGCTTAGGAGTAACCTGTTGCAGACCTGTTGTTAAAAGAACACTTCTTTTTAAAGTGGGTGACGGTGGCTCAGTTGGTAGAGTCGTTGCCTCTTGACTGAAAGGTTGAGGGTTTGATCCCCAACTGAGCAACATGTCTGATGTGTCCTTGGGCAAGACACACCTGCATTTCCCACTACTACTGTGGCGTGCATGAATGGATTAGTGTTGTACCTACTCTATGATGTATGTCACTTTAGATAAAAGTGTCTGCTAAGTGAATTGTAAAAGGCAGAACCCATGAGAAGAACCAGCCTCACGTTAAACAGCCACGTTGCCTGCCTTGTGTAGTATAATCACTGTTCAAGTTTGGTCCACATGACCACAGCTCATTAGTATCATCTTGAGCTTTGATTGTGAGTGTTTTTCAGTTCTCTGTGTGACACATCCCAAACACTTCTTCGAACACTTGCCTGTTTTGCTTTGACCACAAAATGATTCTGCCAGACGTCTGAATTTACATGCAAATCATAAGCGGCCATGGAGCAGTGTGAGTGAGGCAGAGCCATGTAAACACCATCTTGTGACAACATCAACCCATGCAACTGAGCTCTTCAGTGATGCGAGTGTAATTGCTGAAGCATATGGGGCTGCCTCATATTTCTATCACAATAACAGATGCCAGTTAGGAAATGCAAACATCACAGTCACATTTCTTGATATGAGGCCAAGTTGTGCATGTGGCCAGATCATCACTTTATAAAGGGAGGAAGGCTTTAGTCTATATTGAATTATATGAATAATGATCTCTTATATCTGCCAATCTACAAATGCTCAACACCAATATGCCTAAAGTTTGAGGATTATGATTGATTCAGTTATACAAGCAGCAGATTTCCATGCATCCAACTTATTTAGTTATTTAGTCTAAACATCCACTTTTTGAATAAAATAACCACATTCCAACTTCAATCCATTACATTTTTAAATGCCTGAGAAATAGGACAAACTGCAAGTGTTTCCCCAAACAAAAATTACTTCCTCATTCTCCTGTAAGATGTAATACCCTTTTTGAAGTTTAGATTTCAGAGCAACAACAACAAACTTTTCACCCTCCGGAAGCCTGAATGCCAGAGAGACCTCACTGTTCCAAATATTACACTCACTCGCTTACTTCACCTACATTGATACGAATTAATAAAAGAAAAGCAAGTCATCTTGGCTGCCTCCAGATTCAATATTTAACCACATCTCAGGATGCAGTATTCATAGCCAAATCATTGATACTAAAATATTCTTATACCTTTCTATTTAGATTCCAGAATTACCATACAGTGTGTATAAGACACACTTTTATTGGTTTTTGTCATCTAAAAAGTTGTCTGGTTCCTTTTTACTGTTGTGCCAATATAAAAGTATAAATAAAATAACATGTGCCATCATGACTGCAAATGCAGCCCCCACCATCACCCCCTGAACGTGATAATTCTATATCTGTGATTTGTTCTTCTCCTGCAGCTGTGCCTTAATGACTTTGTTTATGCTCTACAAAAAAATACTCACAACTGAAATGGTCAGAGCCTAAAGGTAGCAATTTAAAAAAAAAGAAAAGATATACATATACTGTATCGTTCCTATATAAAAATGTTTAACCCTCAATATTCATCTTTATATTATAAAGTCAATTGTCATAAGGACAATTTCTTTCATGGGAAAAACAAACATGTTTGTCACTAAGTTTGGGCGCAGGAGAAACATACCGCTCAATACAAATCAAACGCAACACACAAGACTGACAGCAATCAATTCACAACAAGTGGAGTATTACAATACCAGAAAAATACACAAGATCCCCAGAAGCCATAGTTTATTTTCCCTGGTTCATACAGTATTTTTGTAGGTTTTTGTTGGATTGATAAAAGGGCTTTCTGTTGAGTCTTGTTTTTGTTTTATTTGGAGAATGCAGGAGAAGAGGAAAGAAATACATAGAAAATTGTCGAACGACCAAGACAGACCCACATTTTTAAAATGCTTCTTTGACCACTATAAATGATCTAAAAACAACTGGATTCATGTAGATTCTTTTGCAACATTTTTTTCAACCTTGCTTGATTCAAACTGATTATTTAAATGTCGGCAACTCATTTTCTGTTGGACTGATCAACTGGACTCTGTAAATCCTCTTTGAACGATTCTTTAAACTATAGAACATGTGTTTGAAGAAAGTTCTGATAACAGAATCTGGATCTACAGTCCTCTGCCAGTGCAATGTCAACCATTTAGTCCTGTAACACCTTAGTACCACTGTAATTACTGCATACATTAACACACAATAAACCAATTATCTAAAATATGACACTAATTGTTATAATGAGACAAAAGAGCAGCCAGGGCTTAAAGCCTCCATTTAATACGTCACATATACAACATGGAAGCTGTTTGTTCAGCTGACCTTATTTAACAATAGCACCATTGAACAAACAAGGCAGGTCTGTGCAGTTTGGCCTTGAAATAGAAAACAAAACAAAAAACAGTATTGAAACTAGCCCCAGAAACCCATGTCCTGATTAGAGGAGCTAAATTGGTCATTATGAGGATGAAGCGAAAAAAAACCCTCACATTCTTGAAAATAGTCTTCTTGTCTGTTGACCCTGAATCTCCCAAACAGTGGCCTCATCCTGTAAACATACACTCTACTCATTGTCGAAACTGCGACTGTTTACATCATTCTGGCGGATGTTCTCTGACCTGTTGATGAATGAGCTAATAGGTGACCTATATTTTTCAGCTGAATGTATGTTGCGTTTCTTAGTTTTGCATTTCTGCCCTGTTTCCTCTCATACAAATACAAAATTACAGGATACAGAATTTAATCAGACATTTTATCTTAAGACAAATAATTTTCTTGATGTTTTAAACACAAAGTATTTTGTAATAATACTATATATATATATATATATATATATATATATATATATATATATATATATATATATATATATATATATATATATATAGTATTTTATTTTATTTGTGGCAGCAGCTCAGTCTCTGGTCTTGGGTTGGGAACCAGAGGGTCTAAGGTTCAAGTCCCAGTATGGACTAGAATACTGAAATGGTTCGGTTGCTGGAGAGGTGCCAGTTCATTTCAAGAGAATTGCCAAGGTGCACTTGGGCAAGGCATCGAACCCCAACAGGTCAGTGGTGCACTCTATGGGTCTTTTCGCTGTTAATATTTATTTCTTATTTTTCTACTTTGTGAAATCTCAATTCAACAACAAAAAATACACTTTTGCTGCTCTGATGTTCAACAATATTATCTTTGTCTTTGCATTAATTTAGAACACCCTGTTCTATGAAATTACAATAAATGAACTGAAATTATAAATTACAATAAACAATGTAGGCTCAATCTAATAGTTTTGTTATAAGTCTACAATAATATAACTAAAGAAGAAGAATAATCTCGGCTACATAAATATTTTTACAGAATGCATTAGCTACAAAAAAAGCCGTTCCCGCAAGATGCCGCTGAGTAACCATGGTAACATACAGTTCCTGTTTCCACCTGAGAGAGGGAAGTTTTTTCCCAAAGCCTGCTGCTGTATTTCTACCCTACACCTTGGTGAAGGAGACTTCACTCAGCTGCGAGTGTGACTTCTAAGGGAGTACACTCTGTCACGGAGGGGGAGGGTGTAGGGGTTGGTTTGAAAAAGTGCCTACGAGCTTCTATGCCATCTCTCCATTAATACATATCCATAGGTCCTGTTTGTGCATGTGTGTATTTCAGTCCTATGTTTGTGAGTAGCATGCCTCAATATTAGAATGTTTCCTTGAATCTTCCCTTAAGGAATAAATGAGGAAAAAAAGAGGGTAAAAAAAGTCTAATTTCACAATAAATATGTGGCATTCTGAAGACCAAATCTAACTATCTGCTCTAAAAAGGTCTAATTTAACACTTTATAATCACATTTTGTTGCTTTTTTATTTGTCACACAAGAGCCTCAACAGCAACATTAACCCCAGATTTTAGCTTTAAGAATGATAAAAGCTCACTCTTTCTGAGAAGTGTTTGAACCACGTTAAGGATGCACGCGGCGAGAAAGCTGCAGACAGACGTAGAACGGCTGACAGGAGGGAACTTGAAAGGAGAGTCAATTTCCAGCTGCTTGGAAACCTTACAGTCATTTATAAACAGCGTCTTACTCCTCACCTGACATGACCCTTCAGCTGCAGAGCTCTACTGCTCTCCGAAGAGACAACCTGAGCATATCTTTATAAAGTGTTACAATTGGACTAATGACAGATGCAGCTTCTTGATATTCTATCAAGTTAAGATGTCAGAAGTCAGAGATCTACCTTGGCAAAAACAACATTTAAAAATGTAATGACTGATCGAGTTAATGTCATAAGCAATGGGCAGTTTTATTGCTCTGTGACTGAGCAGCTCCCAGAGCAACATCTGCAGGTTGACCTTTATGGAAATGCAATCACCCTGTCAAATATGCACAATTACTATGTCACACACAGCACAAAGAATTCTAAAGGAATATTTTCATTTTGAAAAATATTCACTATTTTCCTGAGAGAAAAGATAACAGGAGTTACTCTAGTCTTATGGCTGTCTGTCAAAGCAATAATATGTAACTTTTCCATCTTAAAATAGTAGCTTCAAAGTCGATGAAATACTGCAACTTTCCACAGTGAGAAGTGTTATCCTTAGACTTATGCTAAGCTAAGCTAAGTCTCTCTTGGATCTGGTTTCATATATAGCTTTCGCACATGAGAGTGGCAAAAAATCTTCTCATCTAACTCATGGAAAAATAAGCAAAGTGTTGAGTTGCGTAACTACATGATCAGAGCTTACCTCTCCATTGAAGAAGCAGAATATTGTTGCCACCAGCAATCCCTTAAAATGCAAAAGAATACAAATTAGCATCTCACAGTAAGAAAGGAAAACACGTTCATAATAAAACACATGAACTTTCACCTCCACTCGATATAAAAACCACGGGATATAAACATCCACCCCCACCCACTCACTGGCAGCGAATATTTCCTGCTGCTTTCACAAATCAGCACTTTTTGAGGAGAGATATTACTAGAGTGCTGGCAAGAAAAAGTATTGATAATGTTCTGTTGAAAAAATGAAGGCCATTTCCATTCCGAAAAGGAGGAGAAATTATAAAGAGGTCAGAGCATATGTGAAAGGGGCTACAGTAAGTGTGCTTTTTCTTAAGGAAGAAAATAAATAAACAACAGCTTGTAGTTCATTAAGTGCCTAACTGGTAGTGAAAGTTAATAGAGTGCCTAACTGGTTCTTTAAGGGGGAATCATCAGCGTATCACATCAATCAATCCCAACAATAATGAGGCAGAAAATGAGACCTTTCAAGCATGCAAAACATCTACATCTGGAGCCTGGCAGGAACAAAACTACTATTAACTCCATCCAAGATCAAGTTTGGATACATGACGAGAGCTGGGTAGTAAAATAATATAACGTATAACAATACTTTTCAGATCACAGTGTTTATGGATTTTGTACCCTTCAAATACTTCCAACCCACAGGGGCAGTGAAGCAACAGCTACTGAGCTTTTTAATTCACTGCTGCATTACCCTTGAACTGAGCTCCCCTGGTACTTTTAATGGAAATTCTGATTAAAGCAGTGCCCTGCTGTCAGCTCGGTGCCTACCTGGTAGTGCATGAGTATGTGCATGATGTATTCATAGACCTCCCCAGCTAGCCGGTTCTCTGGCCTCCAGGGGAAAATGACAAACTGTATTCCTAGCAGGGGCACCAGGATCAGCGTGGCTCTCACCGCCTTCATGTACATGTTGGACTCTGCTCGATGGGTGTCTCTCAGCTTGGTCACCAACACTCTTATAATATTTAGTAAGAAGAAAAGATTCACCTGGAGGAAGAAGAAATTACATAGAAAAGGACAAATAAATCCAGATATGTTTCTTGTCTTAAATATTATAAGAACTAAAAGTCCTTAAAAAAATACCAAACACATAATTATGTTTTTTACATCAATATCCAGGTATGCCTTTTATATTATTCTAAAACAGGGGTACTTACAAGAAGCGCTGCCACTATGGGACCATGGACCGCGTAGAGCAGATGGGTTTCTACACTCATCCAACAGCTACAGAGGGAAAAGCAGATCAGTCAGTGCTGTCTGCTGCCCAAAATACACACACACATCCAAAAGCACACACGTGTAGGTATCTGCACACTCTCCCTCTCAGCCACACACAGGCGAGCACATATGTAAACACCTCCTGTTTATTTGCAGAAGTTTCTGGAACATTACTCACTTGTCATCGAAGTACTTTTTCCTTGCCACGGCGTGGATGGATGCAGGCACAAGCGGAAAACCTTGGACAGGGAAAAAGATGGCAGCCATATGAGGTCTTGAGTGAATTTGGGAGAATCCATTTGTCATTTACGCATCAGTAAAATGTGTGGTTAGCTTGGTTGGTTGTTTCCTGCTCGTATAAATGACTGCTTCACAAATATATTCTTGGAAAGGCAGAAATATAGTGGATCAACTCGGACATCCTTACTTCTACTAACATTTCTTTGAGGATTTCATAGGCCAAACCCTTAAATCAAAACCATATGGTTGGTGTAATGGTTAATTTAACATTGTTTCTTATAAAACTCACACACACACACACAGAGGTCTGGAAATAATCACAGGAAACCATGTTCAGTCTTACTCAGACACCATTGAGACCCTGCAGAATATCAACCACAGGAGATCGTGATTGGCCATCCTCCAGAAACAAACAGCAGAATAGGCCTGAAGGTTATCCTCCAGGTTTTAATGATGGCCTACATTTACTTTCGTTACCTACTTGACTGACACACTGCACCAATTATTTGTGTCCTCTACAGGGTGAAAAACAGGACAGCTTGAGAACTAAGCGACGGGAGTGCCAATAAAGCTGTCATCATGTCCATGGCGACAAACTGTATGAGGATCTGGTGGTTACTTGTAAATTTCCGCTTTTGGATTGTGTCCTGTGCTGTGAGTTGCCTTTTTGAGATGTTTTTTAAAAAAAAAGCTGTGCTTTAGTCTAGAGGGAGCATAAAGTATGGGTCTTGAGAGGAAAATAAATTCAGTGAATTGGGTTTCAAACTAATGCAGATGGACTTACCCCAGCCAAGGAGGTAATACCAGTGCAGATGCTGCTCCTCTGCAAACACAGCCACCACAATGAGCGTGTGCAGGTAGATCCCTTCACATAGCATCCAGAAGTAGTTGCAGCCCAGCATGTACATGTGGAAGAAGTGTAGCACCTTACACCCAACCTGCAGAGAAAGCCACACAGGAATGTGACTACGTTTATTATCAGTTTTTTTCCTGCTTTGTACTTCTTGTACAAAAATGAAATCTATGACAAGTATTCAATTGAGATACTACTGACATCATCACAGTGGGTTATAAAACAGTTTGAGTGGATGTTTCTGCGCGAGTGACATGAAATCATCAGTACGTATTACCCTTATTTACAGAGAGGGTACTATTCATTAACCCCCTCTGAAGGTGGACTGAGATGGAAGTGATGTTTTTTTTTGTAGTTGGAGTTTTCTTTGATTACATTTGTCTTGCTTTGCAGAAGAAAATGAGAAGCTCTGCAAGTGCAATCAATGCCTTAGCCTACGCTGTGCAGATGTATTCGCATCCAGCACACTGTGACAACATGTCTCATTAAGTATCTATTCTCTCTGGTTTAGTCATCACCATCATTTTTTGAAAGACATGCTTTGATGGTAATTTTCACGTCAGTCTTATCTCAACACAATCTACTAATGCTGTAATTATTACTGAGAAACATAAGTATGCGCAGTAAGCTGTAATTCTCCTTATGTCTTTAACACACTCACTCTATACACCACGATATGTAAATTCAGAAAGTCGGAATTCCTCTCTTAAAAAGACAGTTTCTTCCAAAAAAAAAGTAGGAAAAAAATTTCATGGCTGAGGAATTTGTGAGAGTTATTTTTCATGGCCACCACATGTGGAGTGTTTGGACATTTCTGCTTATTTTGAGAGTTCTTCAGCAAACAACATCAGCTGTGTTGGCTGCTGCTCTCCTTTGTCCATTTCTGGATAATTCAGCTCCATTTAAAGCAAATAACTCGGAAAACGGCAAAACTAAGTCAAACATTGATCCGACAAAATTATGAAAAATGTAAGCTTCAATACATCAACCTCTCTCATAGCATACCACAGGACCTGAGGGCCAGTTTAGGATGAAATGACAAAGAGCATTAAAGCAGAGGGTAAAATTCCATGAAAATCTAATAATTTCATGATCAGTCAAAAATTTACCAATTTAAATTTAGTAGTATACCTAAACTTTTCCTTGTACCGTTACTCTGCAAGATATTTTTTTTTCCGGATCTAAATGTCACTGCACATAAGTTTATAGTAAAAGCTTGAAAACATACGAAACACATGTGCCCCCCTCAAGGCTTTTGATTTTGTTAATCACATTGTATTAAATAAGCTTTTTTCACGTCATTAATGTTGTTGCAGAGGTTTTAAAATCATTAATATAAATGTCTGACATGATTCAATTTTAGTCCTCTTGGTATTCATCCTATAAATTTCAATTTCAACCTGAACATTATGATGTAGTTTATACAGACATTTGCATTTGCTTGGTGGTGGTGGGAATGAGCAAGAGCGCAGTAGTGAGGGATTGCCAATTGGAATGAGGTTTTTTCAGGTGATTGTGGATAATGCCACATTTCAATGAGCATCAGCACAGCGTGAGTTGTCTGCCTGAAGTAGCTCGCAGGCGTCGCCCCATTTGTTTTTACAATGACAATACCATCAGAATCAGAATGATATTTCTTTTTTTATTGCCAAATACATTTACACATACGAGGAATTTGACTTTATGTTTTGGTGCAAAACAATTAGCTAAGGACTAAAGCAAAAATAGTAAAACACTATATAAAACATCAGTGCTCCTTCTGACAACTTAAATATAAAAATATAAAAAGCAATTCAAAATATCTTGTCTACAATCATCTTTTCCTCAAACTGGACTTCATTTTGCCTCTATTATTAATTACATCCTGTGCTAAACTCAACTTCTAAGTACATCAAGGGAAGAAACACTTGATCTTCCTATATCCATTCCCTAAATGGAAATGGATCAATTGTTCTACAAAACTCATGGAAAAACCTCAGTGCTATTTGATTTATTTCTCATTGTATCTATCATACTCTAAAAGACCCTCTCAGAGTCATGAATATGACATTTTTTAAATATTCTCGTCAGGGTCTCTGGTTCCCAGTCCTGTTTAAAAAGTGCACGTGTGAGGCCTCAGTATTATTCATATATGCTGGCATTACTATGAACTGCTCCTCTCAGGACTCTTCCCAGCTAAAACACAGAACAGTTATTCACCGCTAAGCTGTAATCCATGTGTGGTGCCTCTCCCTCTCTTTTCTACATTCCCCTTCACTAGAGGAATCTCCTCCATCACAGACATGGACTTGTATCAATGCGTGGAGTCAGGTCATTCACCGTTCGGTCATTTAAAACTGATGTATGTGTTTGAATAAAGTTCCCTACAAACTTCTGGTTAACAAATCAAGCTGCCGTAGATCATATAAATGTTTCTCATGTTTTCAGCATCCTCCCGGGTTTGACACAAGTTTTGAGGATTCACTCCCCCACAATGCTGGCAAACCAAACCAGACAGTGTGTCACCACACAAGAGAGATTAAAATGGGCTTGTTTTCTCTGTGTGAGCAAACCTCCACCACAATCCACCATTCCCAAATCACCAGTGCAGAAAAGAGGCTCATAAGTCTCACTTTGGCAGCGGTAAATTTCAATCAGGTTTCCCAACAGACACGCGTGAATCCTAACCAATGGTGCTTGTGATTTCTTGTTCTGCCTCCTCTTGTAACCGGTGCTATGGTAAACAATTTTGTTTTTGACATGTTGAAGCTAGTTAACTCAAACTGACCACTGAAAATATCAAGGAGAGCCTAAAAAACTGCACAAAAAAACAATATATTAATATATTTCATGTCATTCCTGGGTGCAACTTGGAGACAGTGAGAAATGGGGTGTGAATTAAGACATCAGACAGGGTGAGACACACAGATATGTGAATGCATGACAAGGAGCAGCAGCAGGACGCAGAATCAGTCCCATAACTGAGACACCGCCAATGTTTCTTTTATGTTTTTCAAATGTAGGTGATAATCTGACACTGTTTTTTTGTTTTTGGCTTTTGGCCTTTATTTGACAGTACAGTGGATAGAGTAGGAAACTAGGGAGAGATAGTGGGGAACGACACGCTGGAAAGGAGCCACAGGCCAGACCCAACCAGAGGCCATCCTCCACATGGGATGTGAAATAACCGCCCCAACACTGTTTTAAAAAAAAAATAATAATTTAAAAAGCCTGATTAGCCTGATTAGTTTAATTCGATTCTACACAAAAGTAAAGAGCTCTCATTTTGTAGAGTTGTCATACTAAACAATACAAAAATGTAATAGGCAGGAGGCACTGAGTTGACAGGCTTTTTTAAAAACTTTTATTTCCAAAAGGAGCGGTTCTTGAAAAGTAGCACATGAATTTATGCTAAATTATAGAAGTGAGGCATTCCTATGAGACAGATTTATCATCCCTACCAGAGCAGTGCTCCTCATTTCAAAGAATTTACATAATGCATTCAGTGTGGCTCCAAAACTCTGTCAGAAATACGTGGAACAGAGAGAAGACCCGTTTGTTGATGACAAGATATGACATGAAATACTAATTAGGAAATACCTTCAAGTCTGTTGTTTTTTTATTTTATTTTTTTATAAAAACTGTTGAATAAAAAAATTCAGATTTGTTTTCACTTCCACACTTGCCTGAGCTTGCAGGGCAAATGAATGTTAAAAGTCCATCCACATGTTTCAACCTTACATTTGTGTTGGGCTTAACATAAATCAGGAATACATTTGTATCTCATTTGAAGAAAATGGAAGTATTCCTCCTCCTAACAATGAATTCTGCTGAATAGTGTACTTAGCATGTTATCATCTGGCTCTAGAGATGTATGACCATCGGTCTGCCCGTCCATTACTTTGACCCAGATATAAATATCTCGACAAACTTTAAAACACAAAAATGTATTTAGACATTCATGTCACAATTGCCACCTGTGTGAGAATCGTCAGCCTTAACATGTTGGAAGGATTTTGTGTAGCTTGTGCTGGGGCAATTTATTGTAAATGTCCCAAGCTAGATTGGTTCCAGAGGAGTGCGAGTCAAAGAATGTAAATTAACCTATAAGGAGGAGCTGCAGCAACTCCCAAAGAGAGAAATCAGTGCCAAACCTGAGATAAAATACAACTCTGTGAGCGCCTCTCTGCCTCGGCCTTGGCCCCATTGGGCTTGCCTAAGCACATTGCAGAAGAAAAACATGGAGCTGCCGCAATTTACGTCCACCACATTTAAGTAAAGTCTGAGGAAGTTAGGAAAAAATTAGCTTGAAGCTGCAGCCTTCTGTGACCCACTTAGGACAGGAACCGTAGATGATTGATGGCATCGTGGGTTAGTCAGCAGGCAAAGGGTGGACCTGGGCATACTAACGCCCAGCATACAGACCGGTCCCTTAAACATGGAAAATAATCTCTCTCTATTATATTTGGTCAAAACAGTTTCTGTAGTGTTTTGTTGAAATTAGCACATGCTATCATGCTAATTTGTGAACTTGTAAGCACAGTTACTTTATGGCTATTGTCAGAGTGATGCTAACAGGTCTTCACTCTTGGTCTTATTTCTCCTATAAGACAGCTTTGTGCTTAGTCGTCCACACCAGGGATGTTAAGCATTGTTTACAGTGTTAAATAAATTATCCACAGAGGTTTCACTTACAGGGTTTCTGCCCACCACTTCAGGATTATTGACCACTGCTACGAGGTAGATGATGGTGAGCGCTGAATTGAGCACATAGGAGCAGAAGAGGTTCTTGTGCAGCGTGATCCTTTGGCAGCTCAGACTCCTGTGTGAAGACAGATCACATTATTGATACCTTTGCATACCAGGGCTTATGTGATTACCACAAAATAATTCCACCTGGGACTACAAGCGTGGAATTAATTTAAGGTCACACCAAAATATCACATTGAAAATGAGAAACAGTTGCCTCTCCTGATGAAATAACCAGGACTAAAAAAAAATGTGCACTCTAAAAGTTTAATGAGGTTGTCAGATGTTGCTCCAGTCTGTAAAATATCCAATAATTGAGATCTTTCATCTCAGGCAAATTTTCGCAGTTTGTAAAATAATCCCTGGGATCAATGCGCTGGATTTGCTGCTAAATGCTCTCTTCTGTACATGCTGGACTCGCTGTTAAATAATGCATAATGGATCCTGAGGGTGCTTCCTCATTAACTTGACTGGCCACTCAGAATTAATAGCATAATGAAATGCTTGACAGACAGAATGAAAATAACTATAATAATCAAATTCATTACAAGGCAGTCATATCCAGTGGCTTTATTGTTAATGATGGGTGAAATAATGTACAGTATTTTTTCCAGGGCAGCGTTTAAATGTACTACTGCTCAAACTGTTTTCAGTGCTCACTGAAACCTTAGACCCATTTTACTTGTTTGCATATGTCCTGTTAATATGTCCTGTACAACTTTAGAAATGGTATCCTTGTACTGCTCATGGCCAATTTTAAGAGCGCTACATTTTATCAAGACAGTACAAAGGAATTTTATACGATTGTACATTTTAAGAGTCTGTTTTTGGGCCATGGTTATCTGTGGGTGGAAAAAACAGACTCATTTAAGCTTTAAGAATATGCTGGAGCTTCTGACTGAATCTTTATGGGAACTCGGGTCAGAATGTCTGCAAACATTATCAGGTCGGACATGTTTTTCCACCGCGAGCTAGGGTATTTTTGTCTGGGAGTTCTGACAGTGTTTTGTCGAGAGTTGTAAATAACAGGGTAGTGCAGCTGTACACCATCACATACCACAGAAGGCTTCACATCTGGATCTTATAATTCAACATTAAGCCTCCAATATTTTAAGTGTTCAGCTATAAATATGGTTAGTCGCTGATAACACAACAAAAGAGAAAGAATATTTTCTACGCCAGTAAAATATCCAAAGCGTAATTTGTTATCACTTTGATCGTGTAAATTGTGAATATCCAGCTGAGTTTTTGTGTAGCTCAGCGAGGAGTCTGACTCTCAATGGGTCTTGGGGGTTTTGGCGATTATGCACCTGCCCTGAAGAAGGCCACTAGATTTACGAGTGTGCATAAAACTTAAGAGCAAACTGAGGGTAACTTACATGATCTGTGCTTGATAACAGCTGCGATTGGGAGGTCAACACTCTTCAAAATGTCAAATTTTACAACTGTAGCTTTCACAATCAACAGGCACAACATAGTAGTGTTTCCAAATATTGTAACGGAACATAAAATTAAATCTTTCCAATGGGCAATGGGTTTTCAGATTTCTCAAGTATCTGGCTAAGTAAAGTGGTATCGTTAAATTTTACGACAATGAAGTTCCTTCCTGCTTAAAGATTTTTTTAAAAAGTTCATACAATGTGAACACTATTGCTAACCTTTTCCTCTAAGGCTTCACCATTTCTAAATCTCACATACATAAACTGCATATTATACCTCCTTCACCCTTGTCCACTTTTTTTCCTTCCCTCATCTAATTGAATTTCCTTTGCAGTATCTCAATTAGCGAGGCACTTTTCTCCTCTGGGATTAAGCAGTATATTGGGATGAACAGCTTTAATGAGCGGTGCGCTCAGGTGCACACGTTTTTAATAAGAGCAAAGCACCAACGCTTCCATTGGACGTCACAGCGCTCCGGTTTTGAATCCTAAACGTCCATGAAACAAATGCACAATGAAGCCAAGTTGGCATGAAATTAGTGAAGTTAAGTTGTGTATGAATGACATTAATTCCAGCTGCTGAACTACTTAAAAGGCTGACAGATTGCATTGAAGTGGGACAGAAGACATAAAATGAGAATAGTAGCAGTTTACTGAATAAGTGTTGAATATTTATGCCCTCACACAGCTTCTCCAGGACAAGTAACATGAGTTGAAAGTGTTAAAGCACAGTTTTAAACTACTTTTTTTTACTATACTATAATTGTGACAGAAATATGAACACTCGTTTACATGGACATATTCTTCTGTCTGGCTCTAAGGCGGGTGAATAAAACTGTCATTCTGCTCTGCCAGTGCGGTCAGAGGCACAAAGAAGATTCTGCTGACTGTGAATAAGGCTGAGACCAAAGCGCTGTCTATGCTGAGTAATGAAATGGCTGGAGGACACTGTAGTGAAAGATCACCACCGTCTGTGCTCCTGTCAGACTTAATGATGACACTGACGACATGATTGAGCCTTTGAGGGCAAGGCCAGTACCGATTAATCATCCCAAACTGTATCAGTGACTATTATGTTAAGCATTCACAAGCATTATAATGTACATAATTAACTTACAACACACTTAAACAGCTTAACTATCCTAAAATGTAAAAACCTTATATGAAGGGGAACAGCATCATATTGAATCCATTACCTGAAGTAGAAGAAGATGGCCAGAGAGATGAGCAGGGAGGCGATGGATAAAGCATGACCCACAATTGCCATGTAAAACAGGATGTACGCTGACTGTAAAAAACAACAACAGACAAACAGGATTAAGTGATAGAAGAATTCGGATGTAGCACTACCTTGGTTTAAAAAAAAAAAAAAATCCAAGTTAAAGAGAAAGTGTCATTTTTTCATTATGTGAGCAAAACATAATTTTGTGTTTCTATCAAGGCTTGTAAATTTTCCCCAAAGCAAATGTTCCCTTCTAAACACTTGGCACTAAATGTTATGTTTTGGACAACCCTCAACAGGGACTTCCTTGATTCACACATGGTTTTGTAAGCCATCAGGGCATCAGATATATCACGTTATTTAATTTAAGCCTATTTTAAGCCTACTTTTGACTTTTGATGACAGATGAAGTTAGCACCATAAATGCTCATCAAAATGCAACTTAATCTTACACTGGGCTTTATAGAAAGGAAATAGCACCATTGTTTGATTGATTAGTTTATTCAATTGTCTCATCACTGTTCTTTTTCGCATAGCTGTAAAATAATCCATGATTAGTTGGCAATTGTTGGTAATTGTGAAAAAAATGTTGTCAGCCTTAATCCTGTGATTCCCCTTTACTGTAGTATACACATAGCTGAGGGAATGATAAAAAACAGGAATTAAATTGCAACTTATTTGAGAAATACAGTCATGCACAGTAGAATGTAGATTTATTAAGAGATAGCATTTAATACTTTAAAGGTTGAAATTGACGAGGCAGAACAACATACCTTTAGTTCAGAGGAATTATAAAAGACTGACACAAAAATGTTGAAACTATGAATAAAGGAAAAGGTCATTATAATAAGCAGCTGACGTGTGGGTCCTTGCTTTTAAAATAAGGAATTTTGAGCTAAAGCTCACATCTCCTTAGTCCAATCAGGAAACAATGGTGTATTTATTTAGCTTTATTTTCCTTTGAGATGATACTGCTGAGACAGTTTGTTCTCCGTGGTTTCCTGAGGCTGGGAGCCCAGATCAGCAAAGACCAGGTTTTTGTGGTAACAGATGGAGCGGCTGATCGATCAGAAAATGTTCAGGTTTGCCAGAGCAGCTGCTCCAGCTGTACAGAACACTGACTGGCAGTAAAATCATGTTACTTATAGTTTGGGGTTTTTCGCAGATGTTTTGTTCATATGGTGCCATTATTTGCCAGAGCAGGGTTGTATTTGTATGGCCTTGGAGATACACTGCATGAAACATTCTTTGGAAAACAAAGTAAGATAGTGGGTGAGTTAGCAAAGTCTGCAAAAGGAAAGCCAGAAAAATAAAGCTAGACAAATGCAATAGATTTGGAAGGAATATTTTTGTGTGTGTTTTGAATTTACCACAAAGCACACCATGTAGCTTCACATAATCAGTCCATTATTTGTTCCAACTTATATCATTAAAACTTGAAGACAAACAGTTTGAGAAGAACAACAATTGAAAAAAAATGAATTTTACATATCAAATAAGTTGCCAAATATTTTTTTTAGCTAACCCATCCATGACCTTGTGTATTACTGATGCAACTTTACAGGGTAAAATACTTGAGAAAGAAAAAGTAAATGAAAAAAGAAAGCAAAGTTAAAAGATTAGTGTAGTAGAAGCTTAGGTTCATCATTTCCTATCAACAATTTTGTCATGATGTGATTCTATAATCACATGATTTACATCGTCTCAAGGATAAAATTAAAGACAGGGTTGGTTATTTTCTCCAGATACACTTTTAAGATTTTGGTTGAAATTGTTTTTAGGTCCTGACAGGAACTAATAATTCATGTGCTCTGAAAGAGGAACAAAGAAAAATCCATCCTCTGTAGCAGTTGTAAGCATTTAAAAACTTCAACCAATGTCTACCATGAGGTACCAATCTGAAGAACCAATCAAACCTCCCTGTCTCCCTGCTCGTTCTATACCCCTTGCATGCATTCGCCCAACCTCAAAGCACATCACTGATGACAGAGTTTTCTTTTTTTACATTATGATAAAGTTTAGTGTTTACTTACCACTGAATGAGACATGAGATGACGTAGTTTCTACACAATACAAGCGATGAGCTGAGGTCCGCTTCTTGAGCAACGACACTCGTGCATGTAAGTGAGGGGCTTAGCTTTTGAGGTAGCACAGACGGGGAGGGGTAGGATGTAAACGGAGCACTGAGGGAAAGCTACTTTCAAAATAATGCTAATTTCGAAAATGACCAACCCTGCCTTTAAACAAGTGAAATAGAGTGTTTGTTTTTAAACTTTGCTAATAGGGTTCAGCCTCTTGTTATTATGAATAGCTTTGCCAAAGGATTGTCAGATGATATTTACTTATTTAACCTTGGCCTATCAACAGGCCTATCAACAAATGACATGACTAAACTTTCTACTCTTGCAAATAAACATCAAACTGGTGTCAGCTTTGCCTTTTTGCTTCTACCTCACCTGGTGCATTTACAGCTTATTTTCCATCTTAAAAGGTCACATATTGTCCTCCTTATCAACAAGTTAAAATAAGTCTCAGAGTTACCCAAAACATGTCTGTGAAGTTTCTTGAAATTCCACTCCTGTATTTCATCATGCCTCTAAACCCCTCTATTTCAGCCCAGCTCAGAACAGGCTGTTTCTGTGTCTGTACCTTTAAATGTAAATGAGCTGTGTCTGACCACACCTCTCTGGAAGGGGACGTGGTTCTGGCTTTCTTGCACAATGCCCAATTGTTTACGGTGAGAAGACTGGCTCAAAGGGCAGAACAAACACCTAGCTGTAGGAGCATCAACCCACCTGGGGGAGAGGCTACCTTTGCCCTTTGTGATGTCCCAAAGGGAAAATCTCCAAATGGCCTGTTTTTTAAAACATTTTCTGAAAATTAGAGTCGGAAAATAATGGAAAGGGTGGACTTTTCTCATAATTGGGGGGATTGTAGGCAGATGACATGGCAAAGGGCATTTTACATATGTGACCTTTAAATACAGTATTTCTATGGAACTCAGTTAAGGAGGGTAACCATTATTTGGAAACAAAAAGCCTGTTTATAATGGTTTGTTACACATTTTTATGAGCATCGACATGAAAACTATTTATTTCCATTTGATAAATTTTCTCAAAAAAAAAAAAAACGACTCATTTCATTACATATCATTGTTGATTTATTTGCTCATTTCAGTGTATGATTACAACACAATAACACAACACACAACATGAAATATTTTCGCATTATACTTATACACTGTCCATGAACAAACAGGAGCAGGAAGAAGTAAACGTATAATACCTGCCCCTTTCTTAATAACAGAAGTTACTGTTGATACAGAATCAGATGGCTAACCTGATCCAGGCATAAACAGAAATGATTACGCTGCCTTATAAAACCGTGGCAAACATGCAATTTATCTATTATAGTAGACTATACATGGTTTAAATATTCACCTTCAATTTTGCCTTTGTGTTTTCGTTGCAGAGTGTGTAGTTGGACCAGGTCCTGTTGGTATCCGGATGGCGAAACCAATGACCGTCCTCCCCACAGTACTTAGTGGCCTTCTCTGAAAGTAACAACAAATCAATAACTAGTCATTTTCAAACAATGTCTTCACATGCACACAGTTTGTGTTCATGTTTTGTCTTTTTCATAGATTGTACTCAACTCATTCACGCAAAGTCTCCTGAGTGTCACAGCTCACCTGTCGGGTCAAAGTCCACGAAGTAGTTGGGGCAGTTTTGAGCGGTGTAGGTTCCCGCTTGAGTATCGTCCCAGCACAGCCAGCCATCCCAGTTGCGACTGCAGTACAGTCCTGTAACACCATGAGACAGTCAAACATCCAAATAGGAAAAGTAAAACAAAAGCAGGCTAAATGAGTCGGTTTTGGCTACCTGATTTGTTATACGGATGATCTCGATTCATTTTCTCAAAGCATTTGTACTGACTGTCGAGGATTTTTTTCCTCACTATCTCTTCCTCCACTGGGTTCACCATGGGACTGACAGTGGCTTCATCAGAAAGCTCCACCTCTGCGTCTCCTGAGAGCTGGGCAGCTGCCTTCTTTTAGGGAAGACATCACACACAATAACACACACTTCAATATACACATACAGAGTCAGGACCAATGGAGCTAAACGATGAGAAGATTTACACATAATTATGACAAGTGGAGGAATTTAACCTTTTTTCCTCCAAAAATATAACGAACAAAAACATAGCGAGAAAGCACGAGCCACCCAACCAATTCCAGAGGGCTGTGGTCAGACAGCTAATTTTCATTTAAAGCAACAGACACAAAAACAGCCTGTTCTGAGCACGGCTGAAATATAGGGGTTTATATGAATGCTAAAATATAGGACTGGGGTGGATTTTTTGCAAGAAACGTCACAGCAATGTTTTTGGCAGCTCTGAAACTTATTTAAACTTGTTAAAAAGGAGGATCATATGTGACCTTTAAATTTACTGGAAAACCAAGCAAGCTGGTAGCCTACTTACTGATAACCATTGTTTCTGATGTGTAATAGTTATCTTAGAAGCATTACCCTCCATTTCTCTTTAGTGTTGACAGCACACAGTGTGTAGTTGGTCCAAGTCTTGCCACTCTCTGGATGGCGAAACCACTGCCCGTCTTCCCCACAGAACCTAGTTACCTTTTCTAAAAAGAACAGTATTTAAATAAATCGAGAGTGTAATATGTTCCTGGAACACTGTCCAAACCTCTGTAGACCTGTTCAGCTGTGTATTTAAATCTAAGTTGCTGATCAACAGGCCTGTGTAAGAGTGATACTGCTCACCTGTCGGGTCAAAGTCGGAAAAATAGTCAGGACAATTTTGCGAGGCATATTTTCCTGCTTGAGTATCGTCCCAGCACAGCCAGCCGTCCCAGTTACGACCGCAGTACAGACCTTGAACAACAACACAGCGCAAGAACATGATTAGAAATGTTTCCAGGCCCCTCATATGTATGATTGTAGAACATAAATGAGATTCAGTAAACATCAATACCTGATTTGTTATAAGGTGGATCGCGATTTATTTTCAGGAGGCATTTGTATTCGTTCTCAACAATTTTCAGTGTCTGTGGAAAATGTATTAATTTTAAAAAACAAAATACATTAATATTGGTCCAAAATTGTTGCTGAACCCTCGACACTATCAACACTGATTAACAATTATCTCTTGAAGCTTGAGCTCTTGGTTAAACAGGAGAATATTTAACTAGAATAGCACACTGGAAAAGGATAGGAACATGGGGAATGCTTTCACAATTTTAGTATTCTTTAATAACGCTGAGAGTCCAAGACTGGTTGCATTTTCCGTAAAGAGTGTTTTAAAAAGTCACTTAAATAGTAGGAGCCAATTTACTTGTTTCTGATCCATGTCCACTTCAATATATCAGTACTCACGGCTCGCTAGTTTTCATTTTCCAATTTATTAATTTTAGAGTTTCCACAATTTCCAAAACAGCATCCAAACTTAATATTCAAAATCTGAACTTTTTTTTTAACACGATCAAAAATCATTTGACGTGACGCTACATCAACTCCACAACGCACAAAGTTGTTGTCATTTTCTCACACCATCTGTGCATTGCGGCCACATTAATTACTAAACTCCACCCATAACAAAAAATACCTGCCAAAGGTATGGCCTAATAAATTGTTGTCTATTTCAAATCAAATAATTCCCATAAATCACATACTTATTTCCAATAATCCAAACGATATGCGTTATTAGCACCAACTGAAATCAGAATTCGGAGACTAAATTAACCATGATTAAAATGGCTTCTACACTGGTAATAAGGAAACATGTTTACCATTAACCTAGCAGAGCTGCCCTATGATTTCAAACCCACATGATAGCAACAACTGCCTCACAATTTCAAAGGTTGACCTAAAATTAGTTGTTTTGAAACAAATTCATTTTTAATGGATGCCAATTGGGTGCTTCTTGAACCAGCTATAAGTCAGAAATTAATTTGGGTTTGCCAGGTTGTTGAAAATTCAAAGGATAGTACACTCATCTGTTGTTTATCTGTTGGAAGACTGGTTCCAAAGATAGTCATTGACATTAAGGACACAATGCTATAAGAGGATACTTCACCAGTTCCCCAATCCATGAATATAACCGAGGCTAGTTGCTGTGGCTAAAAAGGCTGCACCATTGGTTTTTGCAACTGTAGACAAAGACACCTCCTTTAGTAACCCAGTTTATAGTTCAACTATATTTGTGCATATTCCTTTATCCACTTTTGCCTTCAACGTCAGAATACAACTTTGTGGAAGATGCCACATGTCCTAGACTTGCAAGGAGAACAAGTGTGTTGATAAACTGAGAACGTGCAAAAAAAAAAATGTATTAAGACTTCAACAATAATTTACTCTACCCTCTGCTTCTTCTCATTGGAAGTTGCACAGAGTGAATAGTTTGTCCAAGTTATGTTGCTCTCTGGATGGTGAAACCAACGACCGTCCTCTTCACAGTACTTAGTAGCCATTTCTGCAAAGAAAAACTAAGAGTGAGTCCAATTTGGTTTAATTTTATCAATAAAGATCGAGAAGGGTCATCTTTGTGAGAGACCAGCAGGGCAAAAACACCTGAGTCTCACTGCTCACCTGTTGGGTCAAAGTCACTAAAATAATCTGGGCAGTTTTGGGAGGCAAGAGCTCCAACTGGAGTGTCGTCCCAGCACAACCAGCCATCCCAGTTACGACTGCAGTAAAGACCTACGACAACAATAAATATAAAGAAAACATTTCCCTCATTCACTTAAAATGAAGTGATACGCTTGATTTAAAATAAACCTTGGATTGATAGGCAGTGACTTTCTACATTCAGTAGGCAGTACCTGATTTGTTGTAGGGTGGATCATGCTTCATTTTCTCTAAGCATTTATTTTCATTTTCAAGGACAATTTCTTCTATAACATCGCCTTTTTCTGTCACAATATCAGTGGCCACTGTAGTGGGCTCTGCTGGAGCATCCCTTAAATAATGGTTGACCTCTGTCTGGGTAAAAAGGAAGTTCAATGTACAAATTAGTTGCAGAGCTACTGAAAGTACCTCCATTATTTGCAGGGAAACAGCCCAAGACTAAATACCTCTGATTTCTTCTTTGAAGATGGTTGACAAGTAGATCCAGTCTCAGTCTCAACCCAATTTCCCAATTGGTCACATAATTTAGTCACTTTTTCTGAAAGGGGAAAAGTAATTATCACAAAGGCAACTTGACAAAAGCACAATCCATTAATTATACCATCATATTACTTGTGAGGACATAATTGCTTCTGTTTGATGTTCATGTCTGTAATAAAATGCCCTTTTTCTTGAGCTCTTTCCTTGTTTTTCTGCAGTAGTATGTTGGCATTTTCCAACATAAATCTGACCCTAAATCTTTGCATTACTAAACAACTGTGATTAATTTAACTTGGCATACATCATCAAACATTATGTCAAAGAGATATTTCTGGAATGTGGGGCTTTAGAAACATTTGTACTGCAGAGCTAAGAATGAGATCATAATGTTACTGACAACAGCCTCCATAACCAGGCTGCTGAGTATTCTCCGACAGCTCATCAAATGTTCAACAACCTCTTCCAACTGTATAACTCCCCCAAAGCCTCATATCAGTAACATCAGCTTTAAATAAGGAGCCATGAGGGGACACTTAGCGTCACGCATTTTTTGAAGATCTTTTTTCTCTGACAAAGACACCCTCTCTCTCTCCCAATCCATCTCTCTGACTCAGACTACTCTGTCATTTTTTGTAATCCCTCTTTTTTTGCTTCTATTTTCCATATATATATATTCTTCAGTCTTCTCTCTGACCTCTCCTTCACCTCAATACTCTCTGTCCTGCTGCATCTCCTAAATCAGACATGACTTGACTCTGGATCTTTTCAGCTACACGTTATTTAGCCTTGCATTCTTCACGTTAACAGAACTGCTTCCAATGCAATGGATACTTCCATCGAAACATAAATCTATTTCCATGATACATTTCAGTCAAAAGCAATATCAATAAATGTCTGTTTTCATTTAGCCTCATTAGATTACATACACGGCAGATGAATAAGGGGTTATCCAGTTTGTAAATGTCTTATGCTGGATGTCTTTTATGTTTTCTGTAGTGTCAGTCTTACTCCATTGTAGCATCCAAAAGAACCTTGTATGCATTGACTGGTAATGTAATGGCTTCAATTTCAGTTTCAGTTTCAATCTCCAGCTCCTGCAGCCACATGTCAAATTGTCCTTGGGCAAGAATCTGAACACCAAATTGCTCCCACTGCTTCATCAACATTAATTAAAACTGAAGGACACTTTACATACCAACCTCTGCCTTCAGTGTGTGAATGACTGTGAATTGTGGAATGTGGCCTGCAGTGTAAAAAGTGCTTTGAGTGTTCAGAAGACTAGAAAAGTGTTATAGAAGCTCAAGTCCATTTGCCATTTACTGTGATCTTGTAGGAGTAATTTTTCCTCAATAGCAATCTCATATTTACTTATTAAACACTTAGCCTACATTAAAGTTGATGCTGCTGAGACTGCCACCAATTTTGTAGTTTCTTGATTACTATATCATTGGATTCATTCAAATTAAAGTACTTCAAATTCAACTTGGTGATGGATCTGATTATAAAAATAGGGGTTATTCCTCTTGCTTTATTTACAACTTAACCAAATTGACAGACTTCTAGGGAAATCAGAGCTGCAAGTGCATGGGGCTAATTAAAATGGAAAATTTGAGGAAAATTCAAAGAAAATATGTCATATTAGCTAAAGAATTAGCTGAAGGGTTAATTTAGCATTTGTGAGAGGAAAAGCACTACACAAGAAAATCTGGCAGGTTAGCCCTATTTGAATCCATGTATCACAAAATCTTCCTTTAATTTTTAAACTAATTTCTACTCTTTTTTGAAGTACTTTAATTTGTAAATTTCCCCATTGTGGGATAAATAAAGGATTATCTTATCTGATCTTTTACTCCACACTTGTCATGACCTTTTATGGTAAACTGTTGTAGACTGTGGTTTGATTTTGTGGAAGATAGCTATGTTCATGAGGGAGCAGAAAATTCCAAAGAATCTAACAGTAGTAGATTTATGGTTTGAGAATTAATCCACCCCTTAGTCAGACACATGGATATTAAATCATATTTTAATCAACATTGGAAGAATTGGATTACACGGAACATTACAAGTCAGCTGGTAGCCTAAACTGAAGAATGAGGCTCTTATAATGAAGCTTGTCTGAAACAGCTGATGCCATTGGTTTTGCTCAACCTCAGTGTCTTTCCCATCCAACTCTGTGCATCCCATCATACTAGATTTAGAAGTGAGCAGTTTTATTATGTTTTTAAATCAAATGACAATATAATTTTGCTGTAACTGCTGAATTGTCTGCAGTTCTTGCATGTAAAAGGAAAGGAAGTAATGTCCAGAAGTCATTGATATCAACTGCTAGCTTCACTGGAAGCCCTGTAAGTTGGCTATTTCCAAAGACTGTATTATCGTCAGACAATAGCCAATGGGTTCCAAGATAAATCATAAACTAACATTTCCCAGACTGTCTCATGGAAATGTCTAATAAAACATTAAACATTAAAGTATGAATCTGCCTTTCTAGTCCACTAGCCAGTATGTGGTTAGCATTGGACTTATAATGCAATAAGCCCCATGACCTTTCAACCTCAAAGCACACAGAATATCTGATTGTTTTCTGCATTGTCTGATGACCTGGAATTAAAAAGTTATGCATGAAACCCCTTCAGTTTCCCACCACTACTGGTTCAGTGGGTTCCTACCATTTGGGTTCATGTCAGGATGACCTGGACAGTTCTTTGTTACAGATATCCCAGCCTGTGTCTCATCCCAGCACAACAGGCCGTCCCATAGACGTCCACAGAACCTAGCTTTAGACAAGAAAAAGAAAAGTGTAATGACTATTGTGTGTACAAACACACATTTTCTGTATCTTCAGTTGTATGTAGTGAAAATATATGTCAGGGTTATGCAACTTGCCTACAGCCTTGAAAGCCATTATAGCCCCCCAGCTTCTACCCCAAAAGCCCTTTCATGTAATTTAAACAACCACTGGCAACACTACACCATTACCCTGAACAACCGTGTACTGACCTCAATCCCCTCTCTTACAATGTCATTACACCTGTGATGTTCTCCAGAGCTAATCCATTTGGCCTGAAGAAACCTTAAATGATTGTGGCCTCTCACCAGTTCTGTTTTCCTGGTGGTGTTTGTTGGAAAGCTCAAGACATTTGTATTGATCCTGGCTCACTGCCCGCTCCTGTCCCTCCGTCATGCTCTGTCCAGTCCTGAGCAAAGGGTCTGAGGTTCCTTCAGCTCCTTCCACCCCCTTTTGTTGTGGAGAAAAAATGATATCGGAGGTGAGAGGACATGAAAGAAGAAACTTTTTCTACCGACATTTTGGAGTGTGTCATCAGGTGTGTTTGGGGTTACTGCTCTTATCTGGATCCCCTTGACTGTCAAAATAAGACAGAGTTAAAATTCTTGGGTAACTTTTGGGACTCACTTTTTGGGTCTCATTTTTAATATTTCAGTTTTATGACAAAGTCCAGATCTATACAAAATATTAAAAAGTTTAAATGTAATGTTAAAATTGAAGCTTTTTTTTGAAGCCCTTTCAAAGCTGATCTGACGAGGATTTTCCGCAGCATTGAAATTCTGCTCACTCACAATTCATGCAACTCATTAAAGTGTGTTTGGGTGCTCAAAAGTTTAAGAAGCTGATGAAGCTTATCTCTGCTCTGTTGTTTGTATTTGGAGGTGGCATTAAAATGAAGAGGCTAGCCGTGTGAAATGCTGGTTCTGATTGTGCTGCTCGCTGAGGGATAAAGAGCTCATTTTGCTTTGACTTATCTCACACATTTTTTTTTGGCTGAGAATTAAGCTTTTCAGAGTGCCAGCCAGGCTCATGCACTTGCATTTCCTAAATCATTTGATGAATTTCAATACCTCCTTCTGCACAAGCCTTTTATAACTCAGATGCAAACCTCCTCCCCCTGTCTTTTAGTTAAGGGGGAAAAGAAACTCATTAGAACAAAATATCATTCTTACCTGCCCGATAAAAGCTTCTTTAAAATGTACTGATTGCAAGACAAAGGGTGACTCTTGTGAGAATGCTGATGTCCCATGTAGCAGTTTAGCAGCCGTACATATGATGTCACTCCAAACATTGAAGTAAATGACGTCATACATACGACCACCAGGCCACCACCAGTATCAACAGATGAGCATAATGAATGAGAAAAAAGGAACAAAATCTTCTGATGTAAAGCTCTTACATTGTACGGTTCATGAGTCTACATAAAACAGCACTTCAAGAACATTTAAAACTTAAGTACAGAGACATAAAGCAGAACAGCACAAATACATTTGGCAGTAATTCTTTCCAGGACCTCTTGGTTTGGCTTGATGCTGAAAGGCAAAGAGAACTGAAACAGAAAACGTCCATTTTACTAAAACTAAACAACAGCCAACTGTTTTTTTTCTATTTAGTAATGGACAATGACTCATGAAAGACATCGTTTTTCTGCAGTAAATAAAAGCCCTAAAAAATATCCCAAAGTGAACATGCCCACAGGGACCTAAGCCAACATCCCTTTAGCTGGTAAAAAAAAAAAAGATGAATTTCCTCTCCAAGCCTTTGAATATATAATATACTAAAGTCATGGTGTTGAAAATATGATTTATTATAGAACCCCCATTAAGCCAAGTGGTACAGTTTGATTTGTGTAATTATAAGGCCCACTTCAGGGAAATCAGAAGGTTTTATATGATAGGACATAATGCACAAAATGTGTCACCCCACTATAATTTTTCTAAAGTATTACATTCATTTTAACATCTTTCACTTTTGATTGAAGCTCCTCCACTACTATATAGAAAAGTGTATGATCTATAACTGTATAGTATGACTTGTCCTTCAAAGATTAATTTAAATTGGATGGTAGGTTCTTTAGATTAAGATCTCACTTTTTTATGGGCTGAAGGACACAGACCACCTATTCTCAATGCCCACTTCAACCCTCCAAACATAAAAAAAAATTGTGACATATAATAGCAGGGATAGAACTGTATGTGACAATATCATGATTAATGACTTTATAAATGTGAGGTCCATTATGACTGAGTTTTTATAGAGAGTACAGGAACACTTTCAGCAATCATTTTCCATACTGTCTCGAGGTTTTTCAACACACTGTATGTTTATGTGAAAATGTATTAATAAGAATATGTACAATTTTCGCAAAAATGAACTTAAATGTAAAATATGTAGAATTTTATGACAATGTTTGCATTAAAATATCTAAGAAATTACAAGAAATGACTAAACCCATGTTATATATTTTTTTGTTGAGTACTTACATTACCTCAAACATTTCCAACAGTTATCAAAGCTAAAGAAATCTGTAATTCTAGAGTTGTAATTGGACGTGTCTTTTCGTGGCGGCCATTACAAAGCAGCCATGACAGACAGAATTTTTATAGTTGCAGTGGAGACAGGATATTACGTCAACGACCTTGGGAATTGCTACTGAAAGCTGTCGTACTGTTGCTGTATGAGCTGCTTTAATAAAAAACGTCATTTAAATTATATCTGGATACATTGTCAGTAAACATATTCTCTTCCTCAGGTCTGTTTCAGTCGTTCTTGGAGGGGGTTAGCAGAGGGAACTCCCATGATTTGTTATTGTAGTCTTGATTGAGAGCCCCTTGTCGGCGGAATCTACATATTGTATTTTTTAAGTTTAGATTTATTGTTGCACTTCAATCCAGATTTCTATTTCTAATTTTGACACATCAAAGATTCAAATTAGCATGGTTTACAACACATTGCAGATTTAGTCATACCACAAATACAAAAGTGATTTTAAGAGATGCTAACATTTTGTCATGCATGGATGTTCAATAAGTTTGTATACAAGTGAAATTCAAGACATCTCAATAGTGCACCATCTGCATAGAAGTGTAAGGATCAGAAACAAGAGAAATGCAGCAAACACAAACAGACACATGCAGTGATGGATGACATTTCTTCACTTTGAGGTCAACCAAGTTTGTAATGAACATGCTGAGTTAATTCTAAACTATAATTATTAATTATAAAGGATGAAGGGAAATTAATTACGAGGCTTTTTGCTGAGAAAAGAAAACCACTGGACCAAAGCATACTATGTGCCACTTTAATGAAAATGGAATCCTTTGTGGTTAAACACACATGTGCAGAATACATTATGGACATAAAGGGAACCAGGGCATATTAATCTTACTGTATATCCTTGAATTAAAAAAAAAAGTTAGAGCTTACCACCAGGAGAAACCAAAGGATCCAAAGTGAGCGCACTACCTTCATATCTTCCTCTAACAGACCGATCTCTGGAGGGACAAAAGAGGAGTTATAACTATCAGTAAACAAGCTGTAGCATGAAAGTGACTTACTGAGCAAACATATGGCTTTTTGAAATCACGATTACAGCATCTCAGGAGAAAAACAACAGCAATCATTAATCTGAAATGCTAAGCACTGCAGCAGAAGCGTTGCGGCTTGTGACTTTTCAAACGGTTTCTCGGTGCGTGAGTGCGTCTGAGAGATAGCGAGCAAAAGTAACCATCAAAACCAGAAACAAAATGCAGACAGGTTCCCACAGACAAATAGTAACAAATACTAGTTTATGGTCATTAATCATTGTGTGCTGCAGCAGCAGACCTGACAGTTGAGGAACGGAGTGCATGTGAGATAAAAATTCACTTCAGGTCTCTTTGCTTTGGCTCACAGAGTCTCTGCTGGAAGCCCATCACTCCGCAGTTTGAATTGCTCAGACGCCCTACTGCTTGTTCCACACCCGCCAGGGGGCCCCGGGGGCAGGCTTTCCAGCAGATAGACATGCATGAGCAAGAACAAGTCACCATGAAAGGTTAGCTGGATTGATGATATTTGAGTTGGCTTTTCAGATGCATGCTGATGGTACTCTACTTAGTAGTAGGATGAAAAATTAACCCAGAACTCCATCTGCAACATATTTAAGGCCAAGAGTGATTATCTCTGACCAGGAATCTACTACATTTCCCCGACAATTTCTCATTTCTGATTTCTTTGTTTTTGCCGTAAAATCCAAAGTTGCACCGGTAAGTGTTTGGAGGTCTCCCAGACAGAAAAAGCCATAACACAGTGAGAAATGACACCAATATTACGCTGTTGTAGAATTAATATAAAAGAACAAAGGCGTAATGACTGCAGAGTTTCGTTACAGCGCTGTTGTAAGAATGCACTCTGAAAAGGTTTATCAGCAAATTATTTGTGGGAATAATTGAGATGACCCCAGATGAGAGCTTAGGACATTTTTTTTTAAACAATATAGGTTTTATACTCCATGATACAGACTGAATCATTACAAAAATTGTAGGTTCTTTTGGAGTTACCACCGAACTTTGAGCCAGAAGACAGAAAAATAATTTTGTATCTTGTGTTGAAACCCAAACAATCTTCCTAACATTTGTTTTTCCTGACTAATGGTCAATACTTCCCACAACATTGTTCCACTTTTGTCATTTGACCATCACGATTAACCTCATCCCCGTGCTGAAGTTGAATCTGAAACCCATTGAGTAACACTGTTTCTATTCGGTCATTTTCAGCATAATCCGGTCCTCTGCTCAATATTGCATTAAAACCAAGTAACTTTACAATATACCAATGATCCATCATGTTGGAAAACTCAGTCAAGCACTGGCAACAAACTTCCCCAGAACAATCCTTTGAAACATCCTATAAAAGGATGAAATTAAATAAAAATAAAAAATCAAGACAAAGGGATGGGGGAAGGGGGGACATGGAAACTAATGTATGGATCCAAAAATGGCCTCTAGGAGAAGATCTATAAAAACATCATCAGCAACACACAGCAGAGCTCACACCAACGATTATCATCTAATCACCTCTGGCTGTGCAAGCATGTGAAATGTATAAAATCGTATATTATCATAAAGTCTGATCAAACAAAAGTGTAGAGAATCGACACAACTGATTCAATGTAAGCTATCCAATTTGTGTAACTGAGTTTTTAAAAATCACAAGGGGAGGGAAGAGGAGACAAAGATACAAACTGAAAGGAACAGACCTGGTTGGAACCACCCTTATTTATTTTCACAAGGAGTTTAAGATGAAAAGATCGACACCACTCGTGTGTGTAAGCTAAACAGAAAGCTACAGCAAGCAGATTGTTAGCTTAGTTTTGCATAAAACTGAGAAAGAAAGGAAACAGCAATGGCCTTCCACCAGTAACAACTCCAGAAGAAATAGGCCTACAGTAAATTTACTTCATTTAACCATTGTGTTAAATACTAAAATGTGTGGTGTAAAAAATGATTATGTGGTTGACATGAGCAGTCACAGTAACTTTCTGGGGTATTAAGCTCTGAGACGTTTGTGAAATAAGCTATGTAACAGATTGCTATCAGTAACTTAATTTAGCCTACAGACAAGAGTGGTGTTAATCAGTTCAATGAACTTGGGAAGAGGTTGAAAAATTACATTTTCTAACATAGAAGAGAACTTTGAATGCCCTTTGATATTTGTCTGTTCAGCGCAACGCTAACAGCAAAAGTAGGCTATGTTAGCTTACCCTATAGACTGGAACAAACAGACAACCAGCTTAGCTTATGGACATGAATAGATTCATCTCATATTTGTACATTTAAAAAATCAAATAAAGTCATGAACACGTAAACCATCATGCAAGCGAATACTTCAAACAGATGGTGTTGTTAAATCTATAGGATAGTTGTGTGTGAGGGTCTTTTCGCTGAAAGGCGGTAGAAGTTGGTTTTATTGGAGACACAAACAATGCTCTCAGTATTTCAACATTATTACACTGACTTGATCAATAAGGATTTTGCCAGCAGCCTATTTCATATTTGAATATCTCAGCTGCATGTTGAGTTTCCCAAACTCAAACCTCAGTTGTATTTGACTTACAATGAGAGGAGGTATGGGTTTTTTCAGTAACTGTGTCTTTGGACCTTACACATTAGCTCATACATCTTTCATGAACATAGACACCCCGAACACGAACAATAAAGCTTGAAGCATGTGTAACTCAGTAAAGAGACAAGGCCTGTTATTAAAACAGACAAAGGAAAGCACTCAGACGAGACAAATGAGTGCATGGTACACAGCATACATACAGCGCTCAATCCTCTGTAGGAGTACTGTCAAGCACTAAATGTACAGTACAATAAGTTAAAGGTCAGGCCACATATGTAGATTTCAATGTACACTTTGAAACTAACCCCATGTATAAAGAAGGTCTAGTGTAAGGTTTCACTTTGAATTAATGCCCCTGAACTGACACTGTTGGTTTGAAAAGTGAGTTCAGTACTTTATACAAAGATGCACAATGAATGAATGGCTCCAATTTTTTTTATTCCACTCATCATTAGACTTCGTTATTGCTTTTCCCTTGGATCAAACCCAATTATAATTCCTGCTAAAAATTAAGTTTATAGAATAAGATTCACAGAGGAGAGGTGTGTTATCATTCCAGATATGTAAGTATATGAACAGGAATTAAATCAGGTACCTTGGTCCTGTTTTAAAAGAACTATTAACTGTAAAAAAAAATAAAAAAAAACAGACTTAGGAATAAGTTAAACTTTACATTGAATATGTAAGAATATGAAGTGGGAAATGTGAGGAGAGGACACTTTATTCCTCATCCGATTTAGCAGCACAAGAACAAGGATGGAAGCAAAATGAAAACAAGTGTAGTTGCATCCAGCATATTCAACAATAAATTGGAATTGCAATAAAATACAATGGATAGCAGCATATTGTGGCTGATATTGTCACATATTTGGTGTATCAATGTGTGATTTTGAGTTTCTTAATGTATTAAAATGATGTATCTTTTATTATGTTTGTATGTATGGCGGCTCGCTGTTTGTCAGACACTCTGTTAATTGTGCTGCTGCCTATCTTGTCCAGGACACACTTGTACATGAGACTTTAAATCTCAAGAAGGTTGTCCTTGTTAAATAAGGTTAAATATCAAAATAAATGATTAAAAGAGTCCATTTGAGCAGCATTCAAAAGGGCATAGCGTGCTATTCCCCTGCCTACAGCAGAGCATTTGTACTTTTGTGGATCCAAAAGGAAAAAACAAAATAATATTTTTTTTGATCATTGTGTTCATGGTAGTTGGGTATACTGAAGATTGCAAAGGGGCTTCATGTTAATCACATTTTTTTCATTTCGATGAAACATTCATGATTTTTATTTGTTACTTGTCTTTCTCGATTCTTTGTCCCTTTTGTCCCCCTCTTCACCTGCCACCTTTTCTTCCTCTCTTCCTCTCTTTCTCATCCACCCCATCCCCTTTCTCCTCTTTTTCATCTTCCTCGCATCAGTCTGACAGCAACAGACGGAGCCTCACATCCCTCTTCTTTCCACTTGCACTGAGCGGACACGGGCTCAGTGACAACACAGATTTGTGCTGACATCACATCAGTGATGGAGGACACAGCGGCTCAATCTAACCCCCCCCCCCCCCCCTTCTGACTTTTCACCACTACAGAGCCCATCACTCAGTCTGAAGGCTGAAGCCACAAGAACGTGATTTGGCATTGAATATTCAGGCAGCGACAAATGAGCTGGATTACAATGCAGGCTCAAGTGGATTAGTTTGACGAATGGACAGCTTGTGGACATTACCCATAAGGCTGTCATAGTTGTCCTCTCCAAAGAACAAAGTATTGCAGTCAGGCACGAGCTAAATGATTGACAAGCGCCATTTAACACTCTCTTTACATAGCTACTGGGGTTTAACTACTGTTCCACAAAACAAAACATTATTTAAATACCATTTAGTAATCTGTGATGCACAGCGTGTCATGGCCTCCTGACTGTGCTGCCAAAAAGACTCCGGCTATATAGATCACTTAATGTGCCAGATGCACTAGATATCTGTCCAAACTTCTGTCAATGCACAGAATACAGTAATGTAAACATACTACCCATACAATACAAAATAAAATGGAAATGTAGTGAAGGCTTCTTTACGTAAGGTGCAGAGATGAATTTCATCTGCTAAATTTATTGAAGGGATTTCCTTCTTTTCCTGTTTTTTTTAAGAGCAATCGTGTTTTTTATGATTGCAATGACAGTTAATACGAACAAGTATGTATATGCATCTAAGCAACTGATGTGAATAAAATACTCTATTATTATATATTATTTTTATTTTACAGCACTGAATGTATATTTAACATCATTTAAAAAACGTATGATTAAAAAAATCCAGACTAAATAAAAGTCCAATTTACACACACCCCTACACACACACACACACAACACACACACACACACACACACACACACA